ACAAGGAGGGAGTGTGGCGACTTGAACTTCCGCACATATGTGCAAAGTTCTATGTCAAAAACCGACCGACCGACCGATATTCATTTAGTCAGAACAATTAATATTCAAAAAATTTTAACCAAAAGTGACGACATGAATATCTTCTAGTACTGATAGAAATCCTGAGATCACTTGCGTAATGGCATGAATATTTTCAAAAACTGGCCAATATCTTTCAAAAAGAAATTGGTTATCTTGAATAACTAGCCGCTTATCGAATAAGTATTGTGTCTCCGTGGCACACCGGCAAAATGCTCACCAACCACGCCTCATTTGGTTGGGGTCGGGGTCCAATCCCCAACCAACGTATTCCTTTACCTCGCTAAGCCGACAATAAGACCGGTAAACAGGGAAGGTTGGAGGCATGAGGCTAGCAATCCAATCCCGTAAACATAAACCCCACTGCTACCGAAACTTCAAACCTCTAAGTTGGAGCCCTATATTCCACTGGAAATGCAAAGGAATAGCGAAAATAAAATAATATCGAATAAGTCTGGTTTATTGAAACAACGAACACTTGGCTCCAGTCTCAGTGACAGCCTCAATTCATAAAGGCGTAAACAAATGAAAAACAACAAATAGGAATAAATGCACATCCTGTGTTCCAGTAGTCTCTTCTACTAAATAGTGAATAACACATTATTCACTAACAAACACTAACCCCTAAAGTCGATCAAATAATTATAATAAAGAATTAATTTAGAATAGCGTATTTTTTCCTGCATGATGACCGAAGTCAAAACGACAGAATTCAAGACAACCGCCACTAACTGATTCACTGGCTAAGTTATCATATGAATTAATAGACGGACATGTGGATCGAATTTGCGAGTGAAAATCAACTTTATTCAGACAACTTCATCAATAGTAATCGGTTACTTATGCATCACTTCTAATTCAGTGTGATTTATATTAAGACAGGATGGCAGGACTGGATAATTTGACCTATCTATAATAGTGAATACAATACACTGAACAAAAAAGTAAAGAAGAGTGCCAGAGAAGACAAAAGAAAGTATTATGAAGCTATGGCAAGTGTTGCAGAAAAAGCTGCAGGCAAAGGCAACTAGGTACCTATCGGGGAAAAGTTTGACACAAATTAAGCCGGTGAAGGATGATAATAGAAAGTCACTCAACAAAGAAGTGGAGCAAAGGAAACACTGGGCTGAACACTTCAAAAGACCCCTAAATCGACCACCTCCTACAATGCGACCAACCATACCAACGGCGGAGACAGAGCTACCAGTGAACACCAACCCCTCCCCCGACGAAATCAGAAGTCCTGAAGGCAATCAAGATGCTAAAAGCTGGAAAAGCAGCAGGACCAGATGGAATCCCAGCAGAAGCATTGAAAATGGACCCAGAGACAACAGCGGACTTGATGACGCCACTTCTGAAGAAGGTGTGGAAAGAAGGCAAGGTACCCGAGGATTGGAAGAAAGGCTACTGATTCAAACTACCGAAGAAAGGAGACCTAAGTCAATGCAAGAACTGGCGCTGAATTGTGCTCCTGTCCATCCCAAGCAAAATACTAAGCCGCATCATCCTGGAGGGAATCAAACACGCCAAACTGGATGAAAAACTTCGACCGGAACAGGCTGGATTCAGGAGAAACAAGTCATGTATTGATCAGATCGCCACATTACGGATCATCAATGAACAAAGCTTGAAATGGCAGTCACCTCTCGATCTCAACTTCATCGACTTTGAAAAGGCCTTCGACAGCGCAGCGTCGATCGAGAGGTGATTTGGAAACTACTTCGCTACTATGGGGTGCCACCGACAATTATACATCTCATCCAACAGCTATACGACAATGCTGCATGACAAGTAATCCACAACGGGAAACTTACGGAATCCTTCGAAGTGAAGACAGGAGTAAGACAAGGCTGGCTGCCAACTATCACCAATGATCTTCCTGATTGCAAAAGATTGGATAATGTGACAAGCAGTGGCGGGCAATGACGAGACAGGCATAAAATGGACTCACGAAAAACACCAACTTGGAGGATCTGGACTTCGCCGATGATATATGTCTGATTTCCCACAAACTGGAAGATATGCAAGCGAAAAGTAACAAGTCGGTGGAGGAAGCATCCAGGGAAAATAAGACTTCATGTGAACATAGAGAAAACAGAGGTGATGAAGATTCCTGGTCAACACCACCAACAGCAACAACAACAACTGACAACAATCAGCCAGCATAAATGGAAGGAACCTGAAAGAAACAACCTCCTTCACCTACCCACCAACCTGGGAAGCATCGTTTCAACCACAGCTGGACGGAACTGACGAGGATATCAAAGCAAGAATCGGAAAAGCAAGACAAGCTTTCACTACTCTCAAGTCTGTGTAGAGGTCAACAACACTCAGCATCAAAAATAATCAGGATCCGGATTTTCAACTCCAATGTGAAGTCAGTGCTACTCACTATACGGATCAGAGACTTGGTCAGCGCGTCATAAAGAGCATCTCAAACAAACTACACACCTTCATTAACAGTTGTCTTCGCTCAATACTTCGCTCAAGATCAGATGGCCGGCCGGCCAGAAAAGATCAGCAACAGAGATCTCTGGCAATGAGCGAACCAACTCAGCAGGAACCGATTATGGAACAAATAGGCAGGGAGAAGTGGAGATGGTGGATTGGCTGGCCATACTCTGAGGAAACAATCCATCAAGTGACATCACTAGACAAGCCATGGCTCGAGTGGAAGGTGTTGAAAGGGAAGCGGCGAGTTGGTCGTCAGTGACATGGAGGAGGAGGTGATGTGAAGATGAGATGAAAGCGTGTGGGCAGACTTGGAGCCAGGTGAAAACGTTGGCAGGGAACCGAACGCAATGGAGACGCCCGAGAGAAGCCCTATGTTCCTCTAGGAATTATAGGAAATAATAATACTAGTGAATGAGAAACTATACATCACTCATTTGCATAACAGGAATTTAACTGAAATTATTATAGGAGCACTGGGTTAGTAATTTAGAAGACTGTGATCAGTTTCCTAATGTTATCCAATTTTTTTTCTAAAAAAATTTCAACTTCACTCATCACCTCACTACACGACTTCCAATCACATTGTTTAATAATGAATACATGACCTCCGATTTCAAAGGCAGCTTTTTTTGACATCCAGAACTATGAATACAGTCCATGTACAATAAGCCTACATGGAATGGACAATCCATCAACTTTCAAAGCTTTGTGCCCCTAAGCAGAAACAGGAACCTAGTATACGCTCTATCCTCGAGGATTCGGAAGACATGCACCGAGGAAGTGATTGATGAAGAACTGAGTAATCTCCAAGGAACCCTGATGGAAAACGGTTTACCGCCCAGGTTCATTGATAAGACTCTCAAATAAAAGAAGACTTCCGAAAAGGTCCAATCCGTGCCAAAGAAGATACTTCTGCTTAAACTAGAATTCAAAGGTGACATTCAAGCAGAAATCCTTCGTAAACGCCTCTCCACATCTCTCAGGTAAACATACTTCGCCGTGAGCCTACCACTGACGTTCTCCTGCAAGAAACTGTTCAGCCAGAACGCAAATGAAAAGCTGTCGCATTGGGCCACTTCAACGTGCATATACCAGTTTACTTGCTTTCTGGCGGAGATGAGTACATCGGCCGTATCATGCGCCAACTTGAAAAACGCTCTCATGAACACTATCCAGTCTGACTAGTAAAAGGAGAACGAACCCCTGTCCAGCCATGGCCATCATAAACAGGTAATTCTTTTAATTGTGACTATCCCATTTCCTTTCTTATCCAAACTTCCTGTTTATTCATGTTATTTTTGAGTTTTCCTTAATCCCTATTTACACTACCACATTTTCATATCCGAAATTCCTGTCTATTTTGTCATTTTATTATTTCTACATATTTAATCCCTGATTACATAAACAATTACTCGTCACATTACTTATGATCCCACTAGATTCATTTATCCAAATATCCTGTCTACTTTTGTTATTTCTACATTTCTAACCCCCAATTGCACAATGTGTCAATCTTCTCAGTAATTATGATGCTACTTTGTTTGAGTTTTATCCGTCCCCCTCCCTCTGTTTATTGTGGCATTTTGAATTCCTTATTGTAATTAATTATTAATCTGACCCTTGACCGGAAATTATTCTGGAACTCTCCCACCCATTTATCATAAATACACGAATGTACCGCTATCATCTAGTTGATGACTTCGTCGAAAAGAAAATTTTCTTCGCCGCAACTGTCTTTTTAATAATTCCTATTGTCGAATGTGTATATTCCATAAATACAACTAACTTAGATCAATTGCTGAATATCATTCACATCAAAAATCAAAAGAATCAAAGTGTTAGCCTGTTATTTCTCTAGTTCAGAACGATATTAACTACCAGTGAACTCTCATTGATTCGATAAACTATCCCCCAAAATAGGCTTCAAGTAACTAGTTGTAAAGTCCAATGGAGGGATTTGTGACTAAATAGGTTGTATGGGACCTCAAGAGTGTGTGGTTTATTTTATTCCAACACATGTTGAATACTGCACTTATGAGTACTATCGTTTGTCTGAAATTCTAAATAGGAGTAGAAGTATATATAATACCAGACACTATTTTAATTAGTTTTCAGGGGATAAACCCCATTCATTATGTTCTTAACAAAGATTGTAATTGTATTTCTCAACTCCTAGACAACACTGCATACGAAGACAACTGGAAACACCTGAATAATAATAACATGCAACAATATATACAAATATTAAAGGGACTTACTTCTTCAGCACATGTATCTCATTAATGTTACGTCATATGGGTGTGAAGATTTCAGTTACAAATAGTCTGTATTTAATTCGTTTAGCATGAATCTTTAGGTAGAACTGGGTAATATTTACTAATACACAATATCAACAACACACAATTACTTAGTCAATTAGGGATTAGTGGTTAGGAATCAACCAAAAGGAAGCGTCCTGAACCTATATTTCGTACTTATTGGCACTTATCAATAAGGTGTATCTGCAAACTTGAAGGGATTGATGTGCCCTCTGAAATTCAAACTCACGTGACTCACTGCTTCAGTTAACGATGTTTCAGCTAAGCTATTTGACACCTCAAGATTAAGGTTATTTTCCTTCTTAACTTCAATTCTAGATATCGACAAGAACATCGACGAATCTTTGCAGGAATTATTCTATTTCACTTCGATAAATTAATCGTGATGATATAACGAATCAATATTTCTCGAGAATGTTACATGCTGCTGGTTGATTAATAAGTAGCTAGGCATCACCACTGATGAGCTGAGCTCCAGACAAACGACCAACCGGTGTTTAGATCACTTTGATCCGACTAGCAAGCACTAAGTGTTTTTGATATCAGTAGTATCCAACTACTGAAATCTGTCAATCAGTAGTATGTACAGCTATGCTGGCTTTCTTGATCATCACTGAATAAGATCAAGCAGACCATATATATATTGTAATTTGCATAATTTTGGTTTCCAAAGGAAACTGTAGTGAGATTTCACCTCGAACTGTGTCAGCTGTAAATTGTAAATTAAATTTTCAAACTGAAAATATCATTTCACTTGAAAATCTTTTCACCAAGAACATACGTTTAAGAGTATTGTTTGTTTTTGTTATTAGATAAAATATATGTAGTACATAAACTTACTTGATTTATTGGACTTCCCATACATGCATCAGTATTCAATTCTAAGCGAATCGGTTCACCAAGACGTGCAATCTTGCGTCCATTAAATGTTCCAGCAATACAATGAAAGCGTTCAGGTACAGTTTTCCAATTTTTTGCTAGATGTACCATATCACCAGCATCTAGTACTCCAAAACCGAATAAGTGATTGAATTCTAAACCAGCACCATTGATTGTCCAATTATGATTATGTTGTCTATCGTATAGATGATTACGTTTCGATGTAAGCACAGTTAAATGTTGTACATCTCTCCAAGTGAGTTCTGGTTGAGCTTCTAATGCCAAAGCGAAAACACCAGCAGCCTCTGGTGCTGCTGCTGATGTACCTGAATGATGAAGTGTACAATTTCCGTATAAATCAATAGTTCCTACTCCAGCATCATGAACAAATGGACTTTTACCATTTGAAAATGTCGATGCAAGTGTTGAAGCACAAGATTCATCATAAACAGCTGTATGACCATCGTTTGTAACAGAGTTAATACTTATTGTCCACATACTTGCTGCATAACCATCACAGTTACAGTCATCATTCTCTCCACCATCTCCTGATGCCCAAACATAAAGACTTCCTTTACCTTTACGACCATTATTTACGCCATCAACAAGAGCACGCATAGTCTGATTTCTTGGACCATCAACAGTTGTTCCATCATCTGTAGGCCCCCAACTAGCTGAATATATATCTATAAGATCACGTGCATAAGCCATTGCAGCTGCTTCAATTAAATCAGTCATATACGGCTGATCTAACATTCGTAGTCCAGCCACTTTGGAACCCGGTGCAACGCCAACACCACAAATACCATTTCCAGCTATAGCAGAAACTTCACCAGCACATCGTGTACCATGACTGTTAAACCAGTCATCTGTATACCGAGGATACGGAAAGGCATCGTTACTTGAAAAGTCATAACTTGCCTCTACCGCATAATTTTCTGCTATATCCGGATGTAAGTAGTCCACACCATCATCCATAATGGCGGTAATCACTCCACGACCGGTGATATTTTGTGACCATGCAGACAGTACATTTAAATCCAATCCAGGAACACCATCAGCTTGACCTACATTGTGTAAATACCATTCCTTTGAAAATAATGGATCTGTTCTACTTCTCAGTTCACTTAATTCTTCTTCTTTATCTGATAGTACTCTTGCTTTTGGTAGGTCTATTCGACTTAAACCATCAGAAGATAATGGACGGAAACCACGTTTCCTACGAACAAATCCTTCAATTTGTACAGCATTCGCTACTTGTGGATGTTTATTTAAGCGTTCATTATGAATATGGCTTGGTGTACCACGTGCATGTGGTAGGCCTAAATGCTTAAATACAAATTCATTTGGTTCACCATAATTATGATAATTCAATGGCATGAAACCAAGTTCTCTGGCTATTTTGTTTGCTGAATGTGTTAACTGATCTCTGTTGTCTCCATCATGTTTCAAACGTACTAACCATTGATTTGTATGTATTCTTGCATATACTGTTTTTTGTATAATTATATGAAGAAGATAAATAATTCCAATCTTGAACCCAATCATACTATTCAAATTGTATTAAACTTGAACAGAAACCCAACTCAACGTTTCAATACATCATAAAAATAAACTAATGAGTACACTAGTCTACCTTGTTCCCTTATAGGAAACTCAACTTTCTATGAGTGGGCGAAATGAAAGACAGGAGTAAATTTCTATTGGTTGATTCTATTTGTCTGCATTTCGCATCTATCTATCTATCTGCATGCTTATTCAATACAAAAGAGAAGGGAAGAGAAGCGTTTTTGGGAATTTCAATATTATCTAATAAGCTAACTACTACTACTACTACTACAAGGTCATATGGGGAAAAATGTAAAGATTCTAGTTGGGAGAATAAATGCTTTCCTCCCACGTACATCTCTGTCTTCTATCTATCTATCTGTCTATCTACTCTTGTTTGGCTAAAAATATCGATAATTTGAGTAAATACCTAATGTTTATTCTCTGTTTGATTGCTTAAAATATATTAGCGAACGAAATAAGAGGAATGATGCATATAATAGAAAAAAGTTTTCTATTTATAGAAAAAAAATAAAGAATATTGATCATAACTCGTGATGAAGGGAACAACTCAGAGATTAAACAAAACTATTTAACAATAATATAGTATAATACTTTGTTTGATAAAGCTATTAGCATTAAATAACGAAACGTCAGTAAAAAAAAACAATATCGTTTTGTTTCTTATTCATTGGGAAATACAAAATCTTTTCTATAGTTTGGTTTGTAAGGGTTAGTTATGCTTTTACGAGTTGATCACGGATTGATGTCAGTTAGAAAGCATTGAAAACCAGTCACAGGGAGTACTGGACAGCTGCTGTTTCATTCCACTAGTTTGGGAATCATCGGCAGTACGCACGCACTGGAATTCGAACCCAGGACCTTCCGGTTTCAAGGCAAGTTCGTATCGGGTCCCAGTGGCTGAATGGTATACGAGCTTGCCTTGTAACCCGAAGGTCCTGAGTTCGAATCCCGGTGGGTGCGTACTGCTGAAGAGTCCCAAACTAGGACGAAACAGCTGTCCAGTACTCCCAGGTTTTCCAATGGTTCTCTAACTGATGTCAGCTCATGATGAAATCCTGTAACCAATCAAATCCCTACAAACCAACACTTGAAAATCAATGAGATGCTCACTAGCGACTTGCCCTATTCAGGTGGGTAGTCACCTGGGGTTCTACTGAGAAGTCGTGACCAGCAGGGTGCAGCAGGTCAGGCGTGAGGACAAATACTCGCCGAAGACATTGGCTAGGGGTCGCGCTATGTCGTGAATTGGCAAAAGTTAGAATTCATGGGCCATTGGATCGGGTCCCAGTGGCTTAATGGTATACGAGCTCGCCTTGTAACCCGAAGGTCCTGGGTTCGAATCCCGGTGGGTGCGTACTGCTGAAGAGTCCCAAACTAGGACGAAACAGCTGTCCAGTACTCCCAGGTTTTCCAATGGTTCTCTAACTGATGTCAGCTCATGATGAAATCCTGTAACCAATCAAATCCCTACAAACCAACACTTGAAAAAAAATTATGTTTGTTAAATCTCAGCGAAATTGAAATGATTAATTGCAACCTTTCGTTTGACAATCTGGTTCCGAACTTTTTCAGGGAAATTAATCCAAATTAACATAACAGAGGTTTATTTATAAAAGGAACAACTCTTGTTTTTAAAAACTTTGTCCAATCATGAGTCATGAAACAGGCATCAAAGTGTATAATAAACAAAACTGTATGAACTGTGATCAAAATTTGACCCCAGACTTTCAGCATTAGTCTACTTTTGTGAAAATATGCGTATATATAGCATACAATGGTGTGTGTGTGTGTTTGTGTGTGTGGGTGAACAGTCATAAAACATTTTGTTAGCCTTTCCTCAAGAAGACGTAGACAATCGGGAATTTCGACCAACCAGGAACCGATTGTGAAACAATTAGGCAGGAAGAAATGGAGATGGATTGGCTGGCCATACTCTGAGGAAACAATCCATCAAGTGACATCACTAGACAAGCCATTGCTCGAGTGGAACCCGAAAGAGAAGCGGCGAGTTGGTCGTCAGTGCAAGGGTGAGTGTGACTTGGAGGACGTCATGTAAAGAGGAGATGAAAGCGTGTGGGCAGACTTGGAGCCAGGTGAAAACTCTAACAGATAACTGAACGCAATGGAGACGGACGACTGAAGCTCTATGTTCCTCTAGGAATTAAAGGAAACAATAATAAAATAATAATTAATTGTTGATACATATCCAATTTTTATTTATTAGTCAGGATTTGCCATGCATCAGCTGACATCACACCTTCACTTCTGTTCAAACTGTTGAGATGCACCCATATATGCAGAGCTTCTGCAGTCAGTCTTTCTTTATACGAACCAAAACCTTTCTGTAGAACCTTAGTCTTATCAAAGTCGATTTTGTGTCCCGTTTCCATCTAGTGCAGTACAATCGCTGACTTGTTTTCTAGCTCCTTCAAGTCTGCAGTGGTCTTTGGAACCACCTTTAGACATTATTTATGCTCTTTCACCCTTATACTTACCTGTCTGGAAGTTTCTCCTACATATACGGCGTTACATTCCCCACAGTTGATCTGGTATACACAATTCTGCTGGTCTTCTTGTTCTATTTCATCCTTAACCTTCACCAGTGATGAGCGTAAGGTGTTAGTTGCACGCGAATACACTCTTATGCTATGATCGTTAACTTTGGACCAGATTGCCGAACGAAACGTTGGCAGTAATTTCAATTTCAATTTCGCTGAGATTTTACAGATATAGTTTTTTTTACAAATGTCTACTTCTCACTCGGTGCTCAATTATTTTGCAACTATTCAGTCAAATTTTGATCACAGTTCATATGAATAATACAGTTCAGTTGAACAATTACAGTTTTTGAAATTCTACATTCACCAAGAAACAGGAATAAGGTGTCATCATCATCTACGTGATCACTTAATCGACAGAAACAGATTTTATTTAGTTCAAGTGTCCATTTGCAGGGATTTAATTTGATTAGTAACAGGATAACATCATCAGCAGCTTGCATTCAAAGGTGATGGTACTCCCGGTAGAATAAGATGCAGACTGAACGCTGCCCTAGGCTCAATAATACTGCGTAGACTAAGTGGTGCTCGGAAGGCACAAACACGAGAAAACCAGGCAGGTTTTAGGCCAAGTAGAGGGTGTATTGATCATATCTTCACCCTTCGACAGATTCTAGAACATAGGCATTCCTACCGGCGTCCGATAATCATTATATTTCTTGACCTAAGGCGGCATTCGATTCTGTCGACCGGGAGGTTCTCTGGCGATGCTTGGCTGATTAAGGCACTCTACTCGTACTCATGCAGCCAGGTGAGGGCTTATGGCGAGTTGTCATCTGAAGTGGTGACGACTAGTGGCGTCCGTCAAGGATGCCCAATATCCCCATTCCTATTCAACTTCATCATAGACGTATTAATGGACTTAACCCTAACACACTTCAGCGACTCAGGGATTGACTTGCTACCAGGGAATAATCTCGTCGACTTAGAATATGCGGACGACATAGTCCTTCTAGGCGAGGACGCTGAAAAAATGCAGAGCCTACTGAACACCTTGAGCAACAATCTTCGTATGTTTGGCATGCGAATCGCTCGTGCTGTTAAATGTAAGATGATGCTGCAGGATTGGACTTCACCGACCCCTAGATTAGAAATAGGAAGTGAAGTGGTAGAGCACGTTGACCACTTCACTTACTTGGGAAGTACCATCAGCCCCAACGGGTTGATCTCAGACGAAATCTCAGTACGAATACAGAGGGCTAGGTTCGCATATACCAGTTTACGCCGTCTCTGGCGTAGACGCGATATCCGACTATCGACCAAAGGGCGTGTGTACTGCTCATCAGTCCGCTCCGTCCTCCTTTATGGCTGTGAGACATGGCCATTGACAGCAGAAGACATGAAAAGATTATCTGTGTTCGATCATAGGTGTCTGAGTTCTATCTCCCGCGTGAAGTGGTATAATAAGGTGAGCAATATTGAGGTTAGGCGTCGAGTGCTAGGTAAGGAGGGGAAATCAGTCAACGAGACTGTGAAATTGCATCGACTGAGATGGTTAGGACATGTATTACGTATGCCTAGTCATCGCCTTCCTCGACGGGCAATGTTAGCTGATATAGGGTCAGGCTGGAAAAGAGCTAGCGGTGGTCAAACGAAAACATGGCACCAGTCAATGAAATCCACAACAGTCAGTCTAAGCCACGTAGGAAGGTAGAGACTGCCTGACTGACTGGTTGGGGTCCTCGGGATGGTAAAAACCAATGGTTGGAAACAATTGGTGACATGGCTCAAAATCGTTCTCAATGGCTGGCACAGACGCATCCACTCCTTGTGACTTATGATTTCCAATTAAACTGTTTTGTTCTCCGTTATTACTATTCCTTTGTCTCACACCTCTGTTTACTGTCTATATTATGCAGCTCTTCTACTTTCTTCTCTTGCTTTGTGTGCTACATGGAGTGTGGCGACTTGAACTGGTGCACATATGTGCAAAGTTCTATGTCGAAAACCCACCGACCGCCCTGAAAAGAAGATATCCAGCTGCCACGCTTGTATGTGTTTATCAAACAACTAGTTGTTTGAGACAATCAAAAGTGAACAAATACCCACCTCATGTTACCTCCAACTGTGTCTACCAATTTACATGCACGTGCCAAAGCACATACATCAGAAGAACAGAGAGAAGGGTTATTGTCCGCATTTCTGAACACATACCAAAGAACCTGAAACTGAAAGGTCCACAAGTATTAAACAGTGCAATTGCGCGTCATCTATTAGACACTGGTCATAATGTAGACAACGTGAATTCATTCAAAATAATCAACAAGCAAAAGAAACCTAACTTGCTATGCTTTGCTGAAGCAATTGCTATCAGACGACTTAAACCAAATCTATGTACGCAGAAAGAGACAGTGGTGAATATTGCACTGCCCTGGTGATAACAAAATATACAACTTGTATGAGTCACCCTTTTTCTTG